TTCATAGTCAGCCCAGTTACGATAGAAATCAACACTATCATCAACTCTTCTCTGAAATACAGTCCATCCACCACCATCAGTCTCCATATCACAGTATACCTGATGAAAAAGAAGAACATTAATTTTCAAGACTATGGTGCATGAGTTAAAAAATGATGTGGGAAAGTTTTCAGTTGCTAATGTTTTACTTGAAAACCGGTTCCATTGTCTGGTTTGACAGGATATATTCCACTTTTATTAACACCTGCTGCCAGCCATCCCTTGCAATCACGAGCTATTGGACAATCTAAAGAATAATAATGATTTTAATAACAAATTGACATAGTTTGAGTAGTTATATCTCACATAATGGAGCATTAGCAGTTGAATTAATGAATGTTATTGGAAGTTCATCCTCAATACATTTAGCAGAACTGCTGTGAACAATAGTGACTAGTAGTATCAGTAGAGGAACTGGATACTTCATAATGAAATGATAATTGATTCTCACGGTTAGCTGTCAGTGCTCACCTATAGCTCTTACTTATATAGTGCTCAGTGGATACAGTGTACACGTGTCATACAAGATGCTGAAGGATTGTAGGATAGTTTATTAAAGTACCTGGTATAATATGTTTGTTTATCAAGAACATTCTCAGTTACATTTCTACAGTGCATGCATGGTGTATGCATGCACATGTTGTCAGCTAAAGAGGGTTTACTTCTCTAAACAAAATTCAAGGAATGTATACACATATCTCATTTTTTAATATGAGAGCATCTGAAAAATCTAATTAATGGTCTTACTGCCCAGACCTTCTCCTAAAACATGTTGCAAGGATTGGAACTGAAAGTTTATAATTGTACCTGGTATGTTTATTATGCCTGAGCATTCTGTGATGAATGATTATTGAGTTACATGTCAAAGAGTCATTATGGAATGTAGTATATTCTTGATTTTTATTGCATATCTATGCATGTACTTATGTTGCGTAGAAAGTTTGAGCTTATTCCAATCAAGTTTGTATTTTATACGAATCTTTACAGTTGTACAGGGACTTTGGCCATTGTAAGGAGCATTTTAAAATGTATATCTTCCAAAAGTCCAAAATTAAGTTTATTATTCTACCAATGATAATAACTAATACTACACTAACACTACACTGATGATAATCACTACACACACACTAAGTTGCAAGTCCTCATTGTTCCTTCATTGTGTTAATTGCGACGAACTTTCACTTCAGTAAATTTGAGAGTATAGTCTGGTCCTTTCCAGTTATACCAAATTATTCCCTGCCAACCAGGAGCACTTATTGGATCATTGTAATATGGGGCATTGAGATTAGAACCATAGCATGCACCATACCACCAGGCACCTTAATAATCAATAGCACAACTATGGTCTCGCTTTAAGTCATTATCTCTGTCTTTAGTTGAAAACTTCAATAAACTATGGCCACTGAAGGAATCATTAGCATCACCACCATACCCCTGGACTATTAGTGCATACTGGATATTAGCATCAAGTACCTGGAATTGATTGTATTTAGCAAACCGTTTGTTCCCTTCAAAGTCTCCCAGTTCTATTCTCAGTGAACTATCATCAGTTGGAGTGAGTCTGTGTATGTTAGCCAGTCCCAGCCAATAGTTTCCCTTCAAATCCCCAAACCCTTCTTCATAGTCAGCCCAGTTACGATAGAAATCAACACTATCATCAACTCTTCTCTGAAATACAGTCCATCCACCACCATCAGTCTCCATATCACAGTATACCTGATGAAAAAGAAGAACATTAATTTTCAAGACTATGGTGCATGAGTTAAAAAATGATGTGGGAAAGTTTTCAGTTGCTAATGTTTTACTTGAAAACCGGTTCCATTGTCTGGTTTGACAGGATATATTCCACTTTTATTAACACCTGCTGCCAGCCATCCCTTGCAATCATGAGCTATTGGACAATCTAAAAATAAAATTTGACAAACAAAGTGACATAATTTGAGTA